GTCCAAGGTTAATGTTCTAAAAATGTAATTCTTTTGTTGGTCGGAAGGAACGAATTATGCCGTGCTCTTTTAAGATTAACGTGTAAGAATAGATGTATCTAAAGTCAGGTACAGGTACACGCACACACACGCACGCGCACACACACGCACACACACACACACACACACACACACACACACACACACACACACACACACACACACACACACACACACACACACACACACACACACACACACACACGCACACACACACAATATATATATACATATATATATATATATATATATATATATGTTTACAATATATATATGTATATATAAACACCGTATACTCCATACATGATATATTCCTCACTTTCCATTACAACTGGTTCTACGGGAAGAATCTACTTTACAAATGACTTCATCTTTTCATTCAGTGCTATTACACAACCCCCAAGAAACCGGAAGGGAATTGACAGTAGCTGGCAAACCTTGGAACTGACAGTCTACGTTTTATCAATTTTATCATTATCTGAATTGGATTAAGTGAATGCCCAGACATGCCAAGAACACCATGACGTAACGCAATTTACAAAAGTGTGTTAATGGCTTGAATCGACAACACGTTATCTAATAATAGTTAATGGGGAGATATTAGGACGAGGGAAAGGTTCTCGATTTTATACGTTCAATGGAATCCAAGTTATGTCATTAGTTTTAAATGGTTTAATATACTCGAGAAAGTGAAATTGAAAGAAATAAAACGTTTAGAAGGTCAAATGGTAAATGGAAGAATTGCAGTTACTTAAGCAATAGATAAAATCATTAAAAAGCGTGAAAGGCGATGATGATATGTTATTTTTATTTGTTTTGTTATCTTTAGCATTGTAAGTTGATATGTATATATATATCTCGAAATCCTTTCTCGCTTTGTCTGTCTATCTTTTGCTCTCCTGGTTTTATTTTTCTTTCTTTTCTCCCTTCCTCCCATCCTTCCTCCCTCTCTTCTACTTCTTCCCTCCCTTCCTCATTCTCTGCCTTTCCTCCTCCCTCCCTCACTATACCTCTCTCCTTCCCTTCCTGCCTCCCTTTTCTCTCTACCCCCCCCCAAAAAAAAAAAAAAAAAAAAAAAAAAATCTATCTAAAATCACCATACAAATATGCAGTGTAATTAGGTCACGCCATCTATCGAACGCGCATGAAAGCAAACGAAGTCATCCTTCACAAGGGGTCCTCAAGCAGTGAAAGTCTCGTGAATGAAAAGGATATATGCTAAACGTCCTACACGCCGAGCGGAAATTAGGTTGTTGGTTTTATTAATGCTTAATTTGTCACTTTATCATTCCATCTTTCTATTAGCCATTCGTGATTTGGGAAGCTATTCTCGTCGGTGATTATGATGATTTATTGTATTCGTATATTCAATTCATTATGTTATTTGACTTCTTACAACCAGGTACTTCCGTTGGTAGATTCTGCATGCTTTCATAGTCGATACTGTTGCTTTAAAGATGTAGACAAAGTTCCTACAACTGAATGAGAAGCCTTTAACAAGAAATTACGTATAAAATGAGATTGAAAAGAAAAGAAAGTTTCCGACATATGACTGTGGGTTATGAACTTTCCTTAGTAAACGAAAAGTATGCCGCACGAGGAAATGAATGTGTAATTACATAAATCGATAGATATACATCGTTACGTTTTCTATTTACTCTTCTTATTTTCCATGTTATTCGTTCTTTTATAATCGTCTAACTCCCTGATGGTGAACATCGGTACTTGAGCTTTCAAACTTTCAAACTCCGTTACTCTCGGCAATTATAAAAAAAAACACAATCTATCTTTCCGAAAATAAGAGTAATCTAGACTAATCATGTTCCTCGCAGCTGAGAACATAAACAAGATCAGCGGCCAAAAAACAGTACGAAATGTATTTTGTTACAGCAGGCGCACAT